GGTGCAAAGGCGGGGTCTAGAAAAATGGGGGTGGGGGGGGAGTGGAGGGTCACTGGGTTCCCCTGCTGCTGCCTGTGCCCTGGGACCCTGAGGCTCATGTGTGGCAGTGGGCAGGACCCAGCATCGGACGGGTGCAGTGATGACCTCTGGTTACGTGGGCCTGGGCTTTTGTCCTGTGGGGGCTCTGGGGGGTGAGCGCTCCACTCTGCCCAGCGTTTCCTAGACCCCTGAAAACCCCAGAACCTTGTCTTCCTGTGGGGTGGGTATGGGACGGTGTGAGCAGGGCCACGCTTCCTGCCAAGGGCTAGGCCACACACGCTATCTCAAAGCCCCAGCACTTTCGACAGCAGGACAGCAGATGGTCGTGGCTGTTTCACAGTCTAATTTCATTTACGGAAACAGGTGGTGGGCAGAGCGGGGCCTGCCTGGTCTGGTGCATAGGTCAGACAGGTCTCTAGGAGGTCCCCGTACTGTGACAGCACAGCACTTTACAGCCAAGACCCGCAGCACTGGCGCACTGCTGACGGGCAGGCCCGGGTTCCTCTCAGAGTCTGATCACATCTTCAAGGAAGGCTGCTGCTCAGAACGGCCCTGTCCTCCCACAGTGGCAGATTCAGAGCTGTGGGTGAAGCTCCCCCTAAGCCTCGGTGCCATGTGGCCCACGGTAGCCCTGCAAAAAGCCAGCTGTCCCTGGAGCAGTTGGTGACAGCTCAGAGAGAGGGCTGTGTCCTGGAGGCTGACCCCCACGTGTTTGTGGAACCCCATGCCAGATGTCGGGGAACAGACACAGGCCTGGGGGCGGGATGGCTCCTCTCTGGTGCCAGGCCCTTGCTGGCGGTCTCCCTGACTCTAGCCTGGTTCTCAACAGCTGGATGGCTGTGGCCTCTGACTGCATGGTATGAGGCCAGCTGTGAGGTGGACCTCTGCCCGACACATGGACAGCCAGGGTGCTCTCAAGTGGGCTCTGCTCTCCTGCCAACCCTGGCTGTGAATGGGAGTATTTTGTCGTCATTTCCCGCTGGCTCAGACAAGGCTGAGGCTCCAAGTGCAGGCCACGCCTTGGGGAGGGCTGTAGCGGTGGCCCCTCCGGCAGGCGGCCGCGCACCATGTTGAGCCTGGATGTCCCCCGGGGATGCAAGCTCGGCAGCTTCTTTCCTGGGCACGGGCCTTTGCCTCTGTGCTTGCTGAGGAGCCCACCTGACGTCACCCTTCTTGCTTTCCATCTCCTGACTGGCTCTTGATTCTTCTCTCTCCTCTGCCCGCCTACCTCGCCTACCTCGGTGTAGAAAAAGACACTCCCACTTACACCAGCCTGCTGGGGAACCAGCCTGCCTGCGAAGGTCAGCCCCCGCCTCCCGCATGCCGCGGCCCTGCTCCGGTCCCCCACTCTGCTCCTGTCCGCGCTGTTCTCTATGAAACTCTCCCGCCTTTGGTTAAGAGAGGCCTTGGGTTCTCTGCATGAATGAAGCCATCCCAGCAGAAGGATGTACCCGCCTATTTCTTTCCCCCGGGGAAGTGTACCAAAATCTGATGGCTCTCTGTTGGTGTCTGACCTACTCAGGGCCGGGGCCTGAGCATGGGGGCCCATGGGAGCCACGAGAACATCCCTGGGTACCCCTGCTGCTGCCTGTGCCCTGGGACCCTGAGGCTCATGAATGGCAGTGGGCAGGACCCAGCATCGGACGGGTGCAGTGATGACCTCTGGTTACGTGGGCCTGGGCTTTTGTCCTGTGGGGGCTCTGGGGGGTGAGCGCTCCACTCTGCCCAGCGTTTCCTAGACCCCTGAAAACCCCAGAACCTTGTCTTCCTGTGGGGTGGGTATGGGACAGTGTGAGCAGGGCCACACTTCCTGCCAAGGGCTAGGCCACACACGCTATCTCAAAGCCCGAGCACTTTCGACAGCAGGACAGCAGATGGTCGTGGCTGTTTCACAGTCTAATTTCATTTACGGAAACAGGTGGTGGGCAGAGCGGGGCCTGCCTGGTCTGGTGCATAGGTCAGACAGGTCTCTAGGAGGTCCCCGTACTGTGACAGCACAGCACTTTACAGCCAAGACCCGCAGCACTGGCGCACTGCTGACGGGCAGGCCCGGGTTCCTCTCAGAGTCTGATCACATCTTCAAGGAAGGCTGCTGCTCAGAACGGCCCTGTCCTCCCACAGTGGCAGATTCAGAGCTGTGGGTGAAGCTCCCCCTAAGCCTCGGTGCCATGTGGCCCACGGTAGCCCTGCAAAAAGCCAGCTGTCCCTGGAGCAGTTGGTGACAGCTCAGAGAGAGGGCTGTGTCCTGGAGGCTGACCCCCACGTGTTTGTGGAACCCCATGCCAGATGTCGGGGAACAGACACAGGCCTGGGGGCGGGATGGCTCCTCTCTGGTGCCAGGCCCTTGCTGGCGGTCTCCCTGACTCTAGCCTGGTTCTCAACAGCTGGATGGCTGTGGCCTCTGACTGCATGGTATGAGGCCAGCTGTGAGGTGGACCTCTGCCCGACACATGGACAGCCAGGGTGCTCTCAAGTGGGCTCTGCTCTCCTGCCAACCCTGGCTGTGAATGGGAGTATTTGGTGCTAAGCGAGAGCCAGTCTTGTTGGGGTTCAAAGGCAGACACCCTCCCCCATGGGGCCAGGAGGCAATTTCTGGGCAGGCTGAGAATGTGACCTGGGGCGAGGCTCTCAGCGTTGTGGCTCCATCTGCTTGTCTGACCCCAGAAGACAGGTGGACTTGGGGTCTTCTGCAGGGAGGCCCTCGTGCTTACTGGGTGGCCCCAAGCACTGACCTGTTCCCCAGCCTTCTATCGCAGCAGGTTAGGAAGGCGCCCTGGGACCGACAGCACCCTGGGCACTCACATCCCCTTCGGGCCTCCTCACCTTGACAGGAGGCAATGCACGGGCCACAGGCATGTTCCTGCAGTACACGGTGCCAGGGGTGGAGGGTGTGACCCAGCTGAAGCTGACGGCCGGGGAGGATGCCAGCACCAGCAGGCGGCCAGCAGCTGCATGGCTGGCAGCCATGCACAAGGTTGGTACACAGGTGGGCCCAGAGGAAGCCTGCCTCCTACCCCTAACCCTGCCTTACCAGCTGGGGTGCTCACGCTGGTGCCTGAAGTGCATGCAGGCTCAGCGCTCACACAACAGGGCCAGTCACGCCTTGCCGTTTACCTCTGGGCACCCTGCAGGCCGCCAAGCTCCTCTACGAATCCCGGGACCAGTAACGGCCAAGCTGTCCTGGCACGCCTCCGGTCTTGGGACGGTGAGCCTGCTCTCACGTGCACCGCGGGACCGACAGACCGGCTGGTGTCTGGGGCGGCGTTCGCCTTCCCAGTGCTGTGTGTGCAGCGCAGCAATGCTTCCCACAGCTCCCGTGCTGGCGTCCGTGACGGCCCTGCTGACACTTCACGGGAGAGACCAAGCTCGCTGCTGCTAACCTACGCCAGCATTATCTCCATCAGGGTTTTCTGAGTTCCCACAGTTACTAGAAGGTTCTGGCTCATCAGTGTTCATTTCATCCACTTTTCTGACAACTCAGACTCCAATCTGTGCTGGGCCTGCTCTAACAGCCGGCATCTGCCTTACCCTGTTCCGTAGACTGGTCGACTCTTGCTAACGCTGGGCTGCAAATCAGCCTTTGACACTTCACTAAGGAGAGGTACGGCTTGATGTTTTGTACTTCTCACTTACTACTTCACTTTATTAAGATGACTGTACAGTGATTTGTACATAAAGCTTATGATTAAAACTATTTTGAAAATACAGATCAGGCCCTTGCCTTTCTGTGCGGAGATAACCCCAGCTTTCGGGCCACAGCCCTGTCCTGGTTCGGGGACAGAAGACTCTCAGCCGCAGTGAGACAGCAGTTTATTGTGCACGTGTACACGGCCTCGCGGCGTCGGCCAGGGGCACGTGCCCATGGCAGAGGCTGCTCCGTGACGGTATCCCCTTCTCGCCACCGCGCTATGTACAATGGGTGCTCACAGGGGACCAACTACAGCACTGCACCAGTGACTACACAGACTCATATATAAATTATCCACGGGACACGCACAGGAAAACAACGCCTAAGGGCCTGTACTTTCATGAGGAGAAACATTTCCAGCATACGTCTGGGAGTTCTGAACGGTCTAGTCAAAAATACTTTGGATTATAAACCCTGTAGGTACAGTTCGGACAGCAGTGAAGTGTCTCCCTTGCTCTGAGTCTGGGATTGGGGCGAAGGTTATTGCGTCCCAGTCAGCATGGGCAGGGGGGCCTGCAGAGGGTGGCCGCCCTCCTGCCGCTGCCTCTTCTCCCTCAGCTGCTACTTCTGAGTCCCCGCTCCCCGCAGGCGCCTGCTACCCTGGCACATAGCAGCCCTGTGTGCACTGGGCCCTGCTCTGCCTCACACTGGCTCAAGCGTGGACTCTGCATCTGAGCGTGTTCAGAGCAGGAGTCATTTCAAGCTGTGAGGGTTGGGAACCTCGCAGGGCAGCAGCAACTGTGGGCGCAGAGAGGGGAGGCACGTCTCGACACCCTCCTGACCGCGTGCCCCTTGGTCTTAGGGCCTGTGTGCCTGTGGCCTAGTGCAATGCAAGGCCAGCACAGCCAGCTTCCCAGAGAACTAGACCAATGGCCGAAGCAGGAAGCAGAACACCCGAATCGGGTCACACAGGGCGGTCTCTGGGGACATACACTGGACAGAAGTCTCCGCACAGGGGCTCCTTTGGTAACAAAAGGAAGAATCCTGTGTGGGAGGGTGAGAAAGGCCGGGGCTTCTTTGCTTCTCCGTAACAGGAAGGCAGGGCTCTAGCGGGGCACCTTACAGCAGCTGTGAGCATTCACTGGGGGTTGGGGGCGCTATAAGGAATGACAGCCTTGGGGCCAAATCAGTAAGAGCATTGTTCTCCATTGGAAACCAACCAGGGTTCGAGGGCTTCTTATTGGCAACAGGGGCGGGTGTTTTGAGAGCTGGGCATTTACTTGGATTGACAGTAATTGGCAAAACTCAGTCCTCTGGGAGGCAAAAGTACCTCTCCCAGTTATGGGCAAACTGGAGAAAGGGCCTCACCTAGAAACTGCAGGAATTCACATTGTGGATGTGGTCTGCTGAAGTGAGCACCAACAAAACCATTTCTAGCTTTAGCTTTCCGAGGAAACAGCAGAATAATCTCTTCAGTGGCTCCTGGTAGGTGGCGAGACCACGTGGTGCTCCAAAGGAAGTTCAGGCGAGTGTCCGCTGTCGGGGTTTGATCCGTGGGTACAACTGGGAGGTGACAGAGACAAGTTAGGATGAGATGACATGGCAGCAGTCAGCCTCCAGTGCCAGGCCCCATGTCACTGCTCACCACACCTCAGCACGCCCGGCTCACAGGCCACAACAGCTTCCTCTACTCTGAAGCCCTCCAAGGCCCTCCCTGCCCCTGCCCCTGTCCCTGCCCCAGAGGACCCTAGCCCTCTCTACTTTGCTCACAGCACCTATACCACCTGAAACTGTGCCAGGCTGAGGGCAAGTACCCCTGCTGGTGCAGGGGAGCGCCTACTTGGTGTCCAGGGCAAGTTTGCTGAATGAACAAGGAGCACATGCCACCCCTGAGGCACATGGGACAAGAGGGAGGAGGTGACCCCCTCTGCCATTTTTAAACAGCACAGCAAGCAACCTGCAAACACCTCCCACCTACCCCAGCCCCATTAAAGACATCTCCAGTCACAGAGGATTCTAGATTGGGGAGCATCTGGGGAGGCTTGAGGTGAGTTCCTTATTGAAATTTGTCATGAAAGGGGCACAGGGTGCTCTCGGTCTCCACGTGGGCCTCCAGGAGCACCAACACCCTGCTATTCCTGCAGTGTGAGCAAGGGTCTAGGAACCGCAGGGTCTGTCTGAGCCCATGTCAGCTCTGCCGAGGAGGCCCTTGCCTGTGCACAGAGGTCTGCGTAGGCATGGCGGACGGCAGCCTCCTACCCTAGCATGACTGTCCCCACACTGTCAGGCAAGGAGGCTGAGTGTGCTCAGAGTGCTTACCCCCAGCAGGTTCTTGGGCACGTAGCCCTCCCGGTCCCCGAGGCGAGCCCACCACCACTCGGTCTCACTCCCGTCCTTGCGCCTCAGGATGGTGATGGCATCCCCTTCGTGGAAGGACAGCTCGTCACTGTTCTGGGCCTCGTAGTCCCACAGAGCGTACACCGCGCCTTTGTTCATCACACCCAGCTTCTCCTGCACCCCTGGGGCCAGAGAGCAATGGTCAGGCCTCGGCACAGGGCAGAGGGGAGACCTGCTTCAGGGCGCAAGTGCTACTGCCCATTTGCTCCCAGCTGGCCAACAGAGGCTGATAGCTGAGGCCAGAGATCAGACCCGCAACCCGGCACTCGTGAGTCCAGCCACTGTCCTGTGGTACCAGCCTTCTGTGACACCCTGAAGAAGGCCCTGCTGTAGGACTGCCTAGGGACCGCCCTCCCGCCAGGTGCCACTGGGACCGCAGCCCCTGCCCTGCCTGGCTGCACTGGCTTGGGGGTTCTTGTGCCCCATACCCCTAGCCCACCACATAGTCCCGAGAGCTTGCTGCCTGTCTCTGAAGTGGGAATTTGTGGTGTGGAGGGAAGTCATTTTTGTTTCTAGCAATCTGGTACAGAGTCCTAACAAGGGTTTCAAAAATGCTCTCAGGGGTCAGAGTAGAGAGCAGTGTGACCTTCACTGGAATGAGATGTCTGGCTGCCCGAGGAAGATAGGTGCCCCTCAAAAACATCACACTGCTATGGCGCACTAAGGCACCCGGCCTCCCTTTGTACCGTATAAAAACTGGGAGCACTGAATGTAGCCTTCTTCCATCTCTTCACACTTGTCTGCTGCGGTCTCGATGTCGCTGATGGTTGAGGCGAAAATGGCAGCCCCGCTCTCTACCAGCTGTTTGCAGAGGTGAACACTGTTGCAAGAAGCAGCACAGTGCAGTGGTGTCCTGGAATCAGAGTAGGGTGGGGCTGTAGGTCTGGCACTGCCCATGGGCCGCCCAGTTCCTGTGGGACTTGGTTCCCTAAGGAATTCTCACAAAAGGCACCTCCCCACTAATCACGTTCCTGTGGAGGCGGTGTGCTCCATTGCAGAGTATACGCATGCGCAAGAGAAGCCCTCCACAGGGTTCTGTCATGTCAGTCATCCTCCTCGCCCTCTAGTCGGCCGAGGTTCTAGACATGCATGTACATGTTTGCTGTGTTTCCAGGCTGACCAGGCCAGGGACTTGAACCATGGTTGCCACATGGCTTCTAGCTCCATAGTCAGGCCAGTCTACTACTGACCATGCCAGAGACTGGGCCTGTGCTGGTTTTCGAGATTAAAAGCAAAAATTTTCCAGAGGGCACTTGTACTCACCAGAGAAACACAGAGAGCAGGAGAGGGAGAAAGCACCCTCAATGGGACGGGGTCACGTCACAATCCCTTCTCCACTTCTCCATCCTGTCAGGGTTTTCAGCAAACACACATGGGTGCCCAGTGCCTGTCTGTCTGTTTTTCTTTCTTAAGGAATTATTTAATTTAACTTTATTTATTTTTAATTTGACCAGATAGAGACAGAGAGAGAGAAAGTGAGACAGCAAGCCACTAGGTCTGGGACAGCAGTCAGCCACATGGGAGTCCAGCGTCCTTAACCACCATGCCACCTGCTGGCCCCACCCAGTGTGCTCCGTAAGCCATCAGGGTGAGGACTCAGGTCATGCTGTGTTCTACTCCCTTAGCGCCAGGCCACAGAGCCAGCTCTATGTTGTTTTTTTCAAATGGCATGATACCTACTAACAGATTGCTCTTGTCCAAATATGAATGTTTGAAATGGAGGGAAGAAGTGTATTACAAAATGGCCAATAAAAGGGGCTCCAGCAGGTGACATGGTGGTTAAGGTGGCTGGATCCCATGTGGCTGACGACACAGTTCAAGTCACAGACCTGGCAGCTTGAAAAACACACTGGGTATGTGTGTGCATGCCCAACGTCCTGGGAGGAGAATGGAGAAAAGGCTGTGGTGAGGCCAACCCACACACAGGGTGCTTTCCCGTGTTCCCTCTAACTCACTCTGCAAGTGCACATTCCCTATAACCAGAAAAAGGAAACGGAATGGTAAAAATAGATGTTCGTTTCATGATTGTATGTAACATGTTCTAAATATACATCTAAAACGGGCTCAGGTGTGTATTTTAGCACAATTATAAAGAAACAGCCTGGCTGCAGTGTTGCAAGCTACTGCATGCTACTGGGGCCACATGGGAGGCCCAGGTCTAGATCCTGGGTCCACCTGCATATGCTGGGTATGCTCAGATCCTGGCTGTCTGGGGGAGGACTGTAGCATGACAAGACCCATCTCTTTTTCTCTTGTAAAATACAGGGACCAGCAGATGGTGTAATGGTTAAATCACTGGACTCCCACTAGTCAACTGCAGTTTGAGTCTCAGACACAGAGGCTTGAAACTCACGTGGGATGCATGTGCATGCATGCGTGTGTACGTGCCAAAAATCCCAAGAGGAGAATGGAGGAAATGGGATTGTAACGTGGCCATCCCCCTGAGGAGTGATTTCTTGCTTTCTGAATCTCTGGTAAGTGCACGAATCCCATAGCCAAAAATCTCCCTCAAGAAAAAGAAAAGAAAAGAAAAGAAAAGAAAAGAAAAGAAAAGAAAAGAAATAAATGTTAAAAAGTCCAGTGTCCAAAAGCAGCAGCAGGATAGCTGTTTGGGTTTCGAAATAACCCTGCAGTGCCCAGCAGGTCCTGCACAGCAGAGCCCTGCTCCGAAGCAGAGAGAAACGGAGGTACACGTGACTGCCATGTCCAGTGGGGCAATGGCTGAAGTTCCTGCTCAGAGAGAATACAGAATTCACGGACTGCACTCACATAAAGCAGATGAAAAGGCACAGTGAATAATTAGAATGCTCGGTTTATGAGACTGACCGGCCTACAAAGAACATGACCATGGCTGAGACTGCGACCAAAATAATTGGGAGAAAAGGCTGGGAAAATAGGTACCCAGTACTGACAACAGCTGTCGTTCAGGGATGAGATGGTAGGTATTTGTTAGTTTTCTTTTCCACACTTCCCAATTTCCCTTTTGTGAGGTAGAGAAAAGTGACTCTCTCAGCCCCATTCCCCTGGAAGGCCCTCACCATCCGTCACTGTCAGCAGCGTTCACATTGACCCCGAAGTCCAGCAGGAACTTGACGATGTGGTGGTGGCCGGCACAGACTGCATTGTGCAGCGGGGTGATGCCCTCGTCATTGGGCTTGCTGGGGTCCTCCACCTAGGACATGCGGCGTGTGAGAGCCCAGCCTGCACCAGCAGCATGCGGGTGCTGGAGGGTTGCAGCTCACCTCATAGATGATCCTTTGCACCAGATCAAACTCTCCTTCCAGAGAAGCGTCCAGGAGCAGCGCCAGGGGGTTAAACCGGACTCTCAGACCATGCCCTGTCCGATCCGAATTGGGTTTCTTCAGGTTCGTCCGTTTGCTCTATTGGGATGAAACATGCTTTCAACCTAAAGGTCACTGACCAGGGTGAGGGCCAGTCCAAGAGCAAAACCAGGTGGCAAGAATGGGAGGAGCTAAAGCCCCCAGGCAGTGGCTCTAAGAACAGTTCCAGGGAGCCAGGCTGCCTGTTGCCCTGGACCAGCCCTTCTGAGGAACATCCCTGCACTCCTGGCTCACAATGAGAGGGGAACAGCCAGGTTATGGGAAGACCCTGTGGGAGGAGTGTGGTTCTTTTTTTTTGGAGAGATTTTCACTGTAGGGCGTGTGCGCTCGCCAGACAGAGAGAGACATAGAGACAGAAAGCGAGAAATCACCCCCCAGGGGGGATGGTCACGCCGCAATCCCTTTTCCTCCATTCTCCTCTCGGGATCTTGGGCACGCACACACATGCGCCCGGCGTGAGTTTTAAGCCACCGGGCCCGGGACACGAACCGCGGTCGACTACGTGGGAGTCCAGCGACATAGCCATTACGCTAACTGCTGGTTCCCAGGAGTGTGGTTCTTGACAGCCCTGTGCGACACCAGGTGCCAGCCCCATGGAAGCCAGCTGCCCGACCCTGTTGCGTGCAGAGATCCTGGCTGAGACAGACCAGACAGTCTCTTTCACCAGGGTGTTTACCTAGGTTCTTCCCTCCCTTTCCTGCCTGTCAGGTTTCAGTGGCAGCTCCCTTTCCTTAAAAAGGGAATCTAGGGGGCCAGCAGGTGGCATGGTGGTTAGAGTGGTAGACTCCAACACAATTGATCATGGCTTGAGGCATAGACCCAGCGGGTGCATGTGCATGTATGACTAAAATCCTAAGAGGGGAACAGAAGAAAAGGAACTGTGGCATGGCCATCCCCTGCTGGGGAATGAATTCTCACTTTGCTTTCTTTGGGGAGTACACACACCCTATGGCAAGAACCTAAAAACAAGGGAAAAAAGGCTTTCCAGAGCCTCCTGACTGGCTTCCTGGGAGGGCTCTGCAGATCAGCACCCCTCCTCCATGCCCCACTCGTGTGGTGTGTAGTTGGCTGCCCCCTGACCACGCCTCCCTTGGGCTGCAGGGACACAGGTGGCTGCTTCCACTCTCAGCACAGCCACATCTGGGGGGAGAGCCCGAGGCTGACCTGACAAGGGCACCCACCGTGGAGGCTGCAGGTGGCCGGGAGGCAGGGGGCAGAGCTGGTGGAGGAATGTGTTCTTCTGCTGGAGAGGGGGCCTCGGCCACTGGGCTTGGGGTCTGCTCTGTGGGGGGGACCGCAGCCACGTTGTTGTTATTGTCCTCTGCAGGCTCAGCAGTCTGCTGGGTGGTCTGGGGACAGATGAGCTCCTCTGGCTCAGGGGATGGTAGCTCGTTGTCATTGGCATCTGACACGGGGACAGGCTCGTCAGGGAGTGGGACCGTGGGCTGGGCAGGGGCAGACTCTTCCAGGTTTCCATTGGTGTTGGTGTTTCCATTGTCCACATCAGCCAAAGTGCCCATGAAGTCCTGGGAGGGGCTAGGCTGGTAGAAGGGGGTGCCATCCATGCCGCCGGCCAGGGTGTTGAAACGCTGGTACAGCAGCTTTTGGATGTTGGGCCCGCCGGGGCCCTCGGGCTCTGTGATGGAGCTGCGCTTCTTCAGGGGCCGGGGTGCGTTGGCCAGCTTCCTGCGGAGGGCCTCCAGGTCCGCATCACTCTGGTAGCGCAGCGGCGAGTGCACAATGGGCGTGAGCTTAGTGGGGCTCAGTGGTCGTGGCAGGCTCTCCACGGTGCTGCCGTCTCCAGGCGGGGCCGGGCCCTCCTGCTCTGGCTCTTTCTCAGCACATTCTGACGATGGCTGAGCCTGTGGTGCGCTTGTAGACAGAGAGCCGTGAAGAAACGGTAACGGCGAGGGAGACGTCGAGCCTGACGGTAACACAGGCTTACCATACACTGGAGGAGACACAAAGGACAGGGCATCTCAGCACGGCTGCAGATCTGGGAACTCGCCATGGGGACGGGCCCTTCCAGAGACATGCAGGTCTGTGGCTGCTGCAAAACTCTCATTTTAAATCTCTGAGGACTTCTTCAGAACCTCCACTAACTCTTTTTGAAAGGTAATGTGGTCTCTCTCTAATGTATCAGTTTCCAGAACTGGGACTTGTCCAAAAGTAGAAGGTTGCTGACCTGACTTACTCTGCCCCAAACAGGTTTCCCTTTTTTTCTGGCCAAAGCATAAAGATAAAGCTATTAACATGCATCTAACCCTTGGACCCACCTGATCTAACACACATACCTCCTTATAGTGGGATGGCTCTCCCTGGTGCTAGGAGCTCAAGAGAAGCCCAGGCCTTTTTCCATAGCCAGAATCCTGCACTGGCACCACCACTTGTGAGTGCCCCAGCAGGGGTGCCCAGGCTCACATAACTACCCTTAAACTAGACATCTAAAGGTGCAGCCAATGCCCAGAAGTATCTGAAGAGGCCCTAGCCAAGACCTGACTCCCAGATGCTCCCATAGGGTCAGAGCTTCGTCAGCCTCTGCAGTATGCATGGAATTCAGCAGCATCCCGCAGCCACCTGCTGCCTGCCAAGAGCGCCTCTGCTCTGAGACCTGAACCTGGCCTTTCTCCAAAGGCCTTGGGGAGCTCCTAAGCAGCAGGAACCATCCTAGAATCACTTGCTCCCAGGGTCTGGCTCAGCCACTGCCAGGTGGTGGGAAGAACAGTGGTCAAGGCCCATCCCCAACCCACTAAATAGCTCAAAACAAGTAAGTTCCTGAAATCTCACCCATCTAGGAGCTAGATTTCCTACGCAGTGCAGGGAGGCAGATACCCAGACAGGAAGACAGAGAGCTGTGATCCGTCTGCAAAATTGCTCCAAACCTTTCACCTTTGATTTGTGTCTCATATGGACACCCAGAGGCTAAACTTTATGTATGAATTTAGTTTAATGCTAAATAGCATGTGGCCCAGAGGCACAGATATGGATCGGCACTTTCTTAATTAAAAATAAAACTTCTTAGCCCCAAGGGAAGACGAGTATAAAGCTACCATACGTACCTGCTTTAACTGACTTATTTAAGGTGCTGTGCACTGCTGGCTGGTAATTCTTAGGTGGCGTGGCTTGCTGGAGATACATGGAATATATGGAACTTGAATTCACTGTCTGGGGTCCTTTCCTTGGAGACTGTGGCCTTGATCCTTTGTCAGCCAGAAAGGGCCTAATGGCCACTGTCAGTGGAAGTTCAGGCTTGCTGTCTCCAGTTGGAAATGCAGGGGGCCCTGTGGGTGGGTATGTGGGACTTGGTGGCACAGAAATCCTCTGCTGAATCTGTTGCGAGGAGCCCGGCTGCAGGGTGCTGCCCGCCGGGGGAAGTGAGGCAGGCTTTTGCCGGCTTGGCAGGACTGCACTGGGTCTGGGCAAGCTGCTCTCCTTCCTCCTCTCCAGGGAGCTTGTTGACCCTGGACCCAGAGGCGCAGGACTCGGGTATGTCCCGTAGCTTGGAGGCAATGGCTTGCCTGCACCAGGAACTGGAGGTGGCACCTGACCAATCTCAATGCCCTAAATTGAGGTATTAAGAAAAACAAAGTTACCCTTGAGGAGTTAAGCATATTTCCAGTCACATCCACTAGAGAGGGCACAGTGGCATCTGAAACCCTTCCAATCGGCTTGTGAGCAGACTAAATGGAGCACACCTCTCGCTTGTCTGCAAGGGGGTTGACAGGTGCACATGCATGCGGGCGCTATTCAGCTCTTACGGCCAGTAAGTAGTTCAGGACTTTGGGTGTAGTCTGGATACTAATGGGGTGAATTTGTCTCAAGATACCTCGTATCCTTTAGTTTAAGACTAAGGCAGGAGGGGCCACAAGGGTGGCATGGTGGTGAAGGCAGTGGACTCCCAGATAGCCAAACATGGTTTAAGTCCTGAACCTGGTGACTTGAAAAATCATGCTGGGTGTGTGTGTGTGTGTGTACAAAATCCCAGGAGGAAAAGGGGTAGTGGTGTGGCCATCTCCAGTGGGAGCTGATTTCTCACATTCCTTCTCACTGTCTCTCTGTCTCTCTCCAGTGAGTGCACATGCCCTGTAACAACATAAAACAAACAAACAAACAAACAAACAAACAAACAAAAAAAGACCAACGCAGGAAAGAGACAGCATTGCATTACAAACTCGACTCTGTTTAGTGACACAAATGGCCTACCAGCTTCTCTGAGTTTCCTAGTGCTGACAAGGGCAGAGGCTGGCTGGAGATGGTGCCCTGCTTCGGAGTCCCCTCCATGCTGGGCTCTTTCCAATCCGTGCTGGACAGTGGCACTGGTTTCACTGAAGAACTAGAATTCTGTTTTAATGCTGGCCAGTTCCCATCAGCGGCTTGAAGAGAACATAGAATTCAAGTAAAAACTTTCTTGAAAATGATTTAACCAATCCAATTACATCCTGCCAGAAACAAAAATAGCACTGGGATACCCCAATTTGATGGCGTCCCACTATCTAAGCAGTTGGCTATTGCCCACACACCAGTGAGAAATCCGAAAATGTCCACAGCCTTGTGCACGGATCCAGGGTTGGCCCCTGCTGGCAACTCAGCACGGAGGCCTAGCTGCTTTCAGGCCTTACCAAACTCTCAATAGTCAACCCTGTCTCAGCTGATGCAGGCCCAGGGCTGTGTCTCATTTAAATACTTGTCAGATCCACTTCACCAACACCACTAAATACCATAAGCACTGGCACTTACTTTTCAAATGCTAATTATAAATGTAATTACATACAGCCATTTTGACTTTCAGTTTGGCCTATGCTTTCTTACTTTTTCAGTTAGAATTCAGGACCAGCAGGTGGAGTGTTAGTTAAGGTGCGGGATCCCATGTGGCCGACTCCACTGCTAGAAAAACACACCAGGCACATGTGCGTGTGTTTCCAGAATCCTGAGAGGAGAATGGAGAAGGAACGGTGGCGTGACCATCCCCCATAGGGAGTGATTTCTCACTTTCCCTCTCTGTCTCTCTCTGGTGAGTGCACATGCCCTATGGCAAAATCTGGGGGGGGGGGAATCAGTTATGAATTTCTATCTGCTAAGACAATCGATGATAGAGAAGGCAGTAAAAGTCCCCACTGATTTGTGTAGCAGAAGGAGCAGGCAACCATTCTGTTGCAGTGATTAGAAAGTCAGTCATCAATCCCAAGTATTCAGGAAAGCCACTGAAAAGATGTTTTAACAAAGCATTTTCCAAACTGCAAAAGGGTGCAGAAGTGTCCCTGGTAACACAGGGCCATTCACAGTGATGTAAGTCTGGTCAGGTGTACAGCTGAGGACTCAGGCTCCGCTCTCCTCTCTAATGGGCACAGGTGAATGGGCTGACACGGAGGTGCTCCCAGCCCCATCAGCCATGTGAGACAGGCAGAAAGCAGAGGGTATTGTGTGGGTCCTCCTGACAAGAACGGCACAAGTCCTGCTCTCACACAGTCACAGCAGAAGCACAGGGTAACTAAGAAGTCCTCATGACAACAGCGTATGGGCCAGGACCTCCGACTCCTAAAAGGGGAAGGGTATGCTTCTCGAATACACTCTGTACTCGATGCCTGGGGAGACATGTGCAGGGAGGCTGCATGGCACCTGGAGTGTTGGCTGGGTCCGGGCAGAGACGCACAAGGCCTGCTCCTGAGCCCAGATGACCCTGGCTGCCTCCACTGCTGCACTGCTGAACTGCTGCACCTCACTCCAGGCCCCAGGCAGCAGGGCTCCAAGACAGTTCTAACCAGGCCACGCAGGCCCTGGCAGGCATTCCGAGATTCAGGATTCTGGCGTGGGCGCCTCCTCCACACCAGAATGTGTGTGCTTTCATCCTGTCTTGGTTTTATCTTGGATTTGGAGGCTATGTGGGCCAGAAACCATCAGGTTCACCAAGGGTGCACTGATGAAAACTTTGGGCTGATGGGAGAAGCAGAGCCCAAGACCCAGGAGGGGGCAATGCCCAAGGAGTTGTCATGACCTCCCTTGGGGTCACAGGGAGTACAGGGGTGCAGCTGCTCCTGAAGCCCCAACCCCAGCCCCAAGAGGTTTTATAGAAATAGACACAGCAGGACTAAGAAGAAGTTTTCTCCTTTCTTTAGGATGTGGCAAGAGACACAGAGGGAAGATAACTTATTTTTATTATAAATGAGCAGTTATCTTTGAGTATGATAGAGGATTCTTGCACTGAAGATAAAACTAAAAACTTTATAATGAACTCAGAAAATCACCTTAATTTTGAAAAGCAAACAAGAAAATCCTCCAAACAAAACCCTTGCTGTGCCAGCTTCTGTCACTTGGTGTCAAGCCCTTTCTGAGATGGACCCGATGTGCATGGCCCAGCCCTACTGTATGCCTTTCTCGAAGAAAGAAATATGTCATGTCCATATGGCACAGGTCTAGGTGTGGCGAGCAGACCTTTGTCAGTTTGGAAAACCAATCACCACAGATTCAGTGCTCATTAGAGGATCACGAGCTTCCCATGAGGCCTATCGGCGACATACGCTTTACAATCGGGCTCTCAGAGTGCCGCGAGGAGCCGCAGTCAGGCCCGACGTCGAGGTCTGACACTGTCCACGAGCTGGTCGCTCTGGGTTTACTGCGGCCATCTGTGTGACACAGAACAGGACAGCCGACAGAGAGGGTTAGAGGCACCACCAGGAAGGTCTCAGACCCAGTTCTACATCTGGGCTGAGCTGCTGCCCCCAGCGGGGAGTTAACAGGCTCTCTGAATCCGGTCACTTTAAACCACAGTGGGAAGACCAGGGTGAGGGCTGCAGAACCCTATGGGGCAGCATGGCACACCCACAGAGATGGGCAGATGCGGACCGTCTTGGCTTGCGGAGGCTTCAGAATGCAGTCAGCGGAGCAGCAGCTGGCTGTGCTAAGGACCTGCCCTTGGAAACAGAAGGTACCTGCTCTGCCGTAGGGAGTGTCAAACTGCAAACAACTGCTTGTCAAAGGAAGCTGTAGTGAGGGGCTCACACAGGCCACAGGCCTGCATGGCTGCTGGGACTGAGCACGAGGAGGCTGGAGTGTGCACTCTGTGCCCGAAAGAGCCACAGATGCCTTCCTCCTGCTCTGCGCCGGGAGCTCCCAGTAAGGGTAGGAGACATGCAGCCGTTCACCCCAGGTGCCAGGCAAGCAGAAGACCGGTGTGCAGTGATCACAATCCAGAACACAGGTCTCAAAACACAGGCCTCCTGGCTGGAGTGATACTGCTGCCTCCAGAGCTAAACGAGGGCCCTGACGTCAGGACAGGTTCCTGCGGCTGTGTGCTCTGAGGAATGTGCCAGCTCCCACCATAGACAGTCTTACTGCAAAGGAGCCCTGGCTTTTCAGACCAAGTTTACACAGTAATTCACAGAAAGCCTGCCCTGCCCTTGTCTGGTCGCCGCACAATACACTATGCACGGGCACGGACCATGACAGCAGGTGATGCAAGGACCAGAGTAATGGTCTGTGGACCTGAGCAGTGAGGACCAGCCACTGTACCCTGGGTTTAGGGAGCAGCCCCTCTGCCCAGGTCGTAGCTGTGCCGGCCGCAGTGACAGAGGAGACCTGTGTGTGAGAGGACACCTGGAGCTCAGAGCCAACTCATCACCTGTGCTTTAAACAGCACACAGAGGGGGCCAGGAGGTGGTGTGGTGGCTAAGGTGCTGGGCTCCCACAAGGATGCACATGTGCATGCGTGCCCGAGATCCAAGGAGCAGAATGGAGGAGGAAGGACTGTAGTGTGGCCATCCCTCCCGGTGGGGGGGGGGGTGTATTCCTCATTTTTCCTTTCTCTGTCTCTCTCTGGTGAGTGCAAGCACCCTATGGCATAAAACAAAACAAAACAAACCCAAAAAACAACAAACACATACACACACAGAGGGGAGCCTTAGTTCAATAAGAAACTTGTTCTTGTTTTAGGGTCACTGTCACTTTGGCAGTACACTGCTTCCCAAACACCACCCAGGAAGACAAAGTGAGTTGAGGGAGACTGAGCCTGTGACCTGATGAGGAACAGGGACTTGGCAGCACGGGTCCCTTCTCTGTTCGCAGATCTCCCTGAGAAAGTGGGCCAAGGCTACTCACCTGATTTAGATCTTCCATGGGCAGCATTTGAGGCAATCGTGAGAGACTGGGGCTTTATGGGGTCCCCTGGGACAGGATAACTTCCAGTGCTGGGAACTTGGATGTAAGGTCCCACTGCGGCGACCCTGCCGGACGTGCTCAGGGGGGACTGTGGCGATGATGCGCCATTCACACGGTTCAGCTGTGAGATGGAGAGAAACCAGAGTTGAGAAAGCCCAAGCCTGGGTGAGTGGCTGCCACTAAGTCCCTTGTATCTAAGAAGCCTGTTACCCTGAAAGATGTGATAGATCAGCATCTGGACAAGGGGGTTTCTGGGAGGGACTCATCCATGGCCCACCTGAGCAAGATTCTCTGGCAATACCCACCCATCTGTGAGCCACAAAAACGAGGTGCTGGTGTGCAATGGGAGAAAATTCTATGCCTTTGAGTCTATATAAAGCAACAGGCCAGAATTGCAGCCTCTGGACAACAAGGAGGAAGGACTTCCATATCTTCCTTTAAATAGCTCTATACTGTTTTAATTTTTTTCAATAGCTATTGCTTTTGGTTTTTTTTTTTTTTGGAGAGATTTTCACTGTAGGGCGCGTGCGCTCACCAGACAGACAGAGAGAGACATAGAGACAGAAAGCGAGAAATCACCCCCCAGGGGGGATGGTCACGCCGCAATCCCTTCTCCTCCATTCTCCTCTCGGGATCTTGGGCACGCACGCACACACGCCCGGCGTGAGTTTTAAGCCACGGGGTCCGGGACACGAACCGCGGTCGACTACATGGGAGTCCAGCGACATAGCCATTACGCTAACTGCTGGTTCCCAACAGCTATTGCTTTTGAAATTAAAAATAACAAAAATTTTTCAGAAGTGCAACTCTTCCTGCAGTATTTTGCTCAAAGGTTTCCAGAGCCCTTCCACATGGGCCACCTCTAAGACTCTCATGCTCCTGGGACAAGTAAGACCAATCAGTTTAGGGCAAGGCCACAGGACTACATAGGAAATGGAATCTGCCCCAAATGGCACAGCACAGGATGGAGGGCATTGCTGGGTACTGTGGTCTCAGAGCCAATGACGCCCCCCATGGGGAAGAGACAGAGAGGACGGGGGTGGCCGAGGCAGAGTGAGGACCCTGAGCCCAAGGCTGTAGGCTGGGATGATTTCAACTCTATACGTGAAGAAACACATGAGTTTTTGTGAAAATGAACTCTCTTCCACCGTCACTTTGATGGTCTATGACCAATTTCTATTTTATCAATTGTGGAGAATGAAGGGAGGTGGGCATTTCTGGATGAATCATTTTTAGTAGTTTATCAAGAAATTTTATTTTCACATGCCTGAATTTTTTTTCCATAAAGACGTTCCCGCAGCTCACTGATCCGCTTGTCCATCATGGCCACCTCCATATTGCGCTTATTTAAGAGTTCTTTCTGCTGCTGAAGTTTTGAATTTTGTTCCTGGTTCAGCTGGTTACGAATCTGTAGCACAGACAATACAACTTGCATGATTTGCATTAATTAAAAAGTCAAATTCCCATTACCCAGGAGATTAAGGAAAAAAAAAGCGTTAAGTTCTGATGTGTATTTACATACACACACTGCCATTTATAGGTACAACACAGATGAAGCCAGAACACAGCCCTCACAGAACAGAGAAAGAACAAAGCAGCAGCCAGCCTCTGGTGTAGTGGTTGAGGCAGCTGGACCCCTCAGAGTCAACTGAGTGGTTGGAGTCTTGGACTCGGCGCTTTGATAAACACGCCAGGTGTGTGTATGTGCATGTGCTCAGAAAGTTCAAGAGGAATATAAAGGAGAAAGGAGGATAACAGAGAAGAATGGGTAGCGTGGCCATCTGCCTGGAGGGTGTATCCTCACTCTCTGTTTCTGTTTCTAGGAAGTGCATAAACTCTCTAAGAAATTAAAACAAACTAAGAAATAGACCAAGCAAATAATTGTAACCACGTGTCTCATTCAAAGTGCGCAAAGACTACTACTGCAATGTCTACGTAAGGCCATGAACCAGTCCTTGGGAAAACTGCCCTGGAGCAGGCCTTGCAAGACCTAGGAACTGTGTCCGCCATGTCCTCCACAGCTGCTTCATGCTTACATCCACCAGCGAGGCTTTACTGCAGAGGCAGTGAAACTTCACAAAGGATGGTTTAAGTTGCAAATAAAATATTTGTATTATTATAGTGGGGGGGCTTAAGATTTTTTAAAAAATGAAATAGGAAAGAAAAGAAATATCGAGGGACCAGAAATTAGCGTAATGGCTATGTCGCTGGACTCCCACGTAATCGACTGCGTTTCGTGTCCTGGACCCAGTGGCTTAAAACTCACGCTGGGTGTGTGTGCGTGCGTGCCCAAGATCCCGAGAGGAGAATGGAGGAGAAGGGATTGCGGCGTAGCCATCCCCGCTGGGGGGTGATTTCTCCTTTTTTGTCTCTCTCTCTCTCTCTCTCTCTGTCTGTCTGGCGAACGGACGTGCCCTATATCTAGGAAGTGCATAAACTCTCTAAGAAATTAAAACAAACTAAGAAATAGACCAAGCAAATAATTGTAACCACGTGTCTCATTCAAAGTGCGCAAAGACTACTACTGCAATGTCTACGTAAGGCCATGAACCAGTCCTTGGGAAAACTGCCCTGGAGCAGGCCTTGCAAGACCTAGGAACTGTGTCCGCCATGTCCTCCACAGCTGCTTCATGCTTACATCCACCAGCGAGGCTTTACTGCAGAGGCAGTGAAACTTCACAAAGGATGGTTTAAGTTGCAAATAAAATATTTGTATTATTATAGTGGGGGGGCTTAAGATTTTTTAAAAAATGAAATAGGAAAGAAAAGAAATATCGAGGGACCAGAAATTAGCGTAATGGCTATGTCGCTGGACTCCCACGTAATCGACTGCGTTTCGTGTCCTGGACCCAGTGGCTTAAAACTCACGCTGGGTGTGTGTGCGTGCGTGCCCAAGATCCCGAGAGGAGAATGGAGGAGAAGGGATTGCGGCGTAGCCATCCCCGCTGGGGGGTGATTTCTCCTTTTTTGTCTCTCTCTCTCTCTCTCTCTCTGTCTGTCTGGCGAACGGACGTGCCCTATAGTAAAAACCTCTCCAAAAAAAAAAAAAAATCGAAGTGCACTTTACATGGAAAAGCAAGCATTGTCTTAAGAAATTCTTTCAGATGCCCCCAGTACTAGCACGTACATACTTGCATGTGTATACCAGAGGTAAATGTACTTCCCAGAACTGGATTATTGTTTTTTGTTGTTGTTGTTGATGTTGTAGGGCATGTACCCTTGCCAGAGTAATAGAAAGAGACAAAGTAAGAAATCACCCCTTGGGGGGATGACCACACCACAATCCCTTCTCCTCCATTCTCCTGTCAGGATTTTGGGCGCACACACACACATATCTGGTATGTTTTTAAGCTGCCGGGTCTAGGACTCAAACCACTTAGTCAGCCATATGGGACGCAGTGCATCATCCTCCACAGTACCTGCTGGCCCCTGGGATACAGTTTTTAAGAGATACTTATAAAGTACACTGCAAAAAGATAGACATAAATGACACCACTATATTACATTCATCACACCTCACCAAAAACCCTTGAACTTTTAACAAGTCCTTAAAATACGAGTCATACATTTTTATAGTATCTTATGATTTCTAAGCATTTAAGTTAAAGAACTTAACAACCACAGTGACTTTACTCTCTATGGTTACATATCATCACATCATAAAATGATGAAATACTTTTTCTAGCAAGTGCTAATAAAACTGCAAAACTCATTTCTAGCTTGAAAAATCGCATACTGAGTGGTGACCTGAGGAACTGATACCTTAGGGCTGTTATGGGCTGGACCCTTGCATCCCCATGCCTATGTAGAAGCTCAAACCCAGGAAGGTGCAGCCTGGAGGCAGGGCCTGCAGAAGGGATCAGGGTTAGAGGTCAGGTGGGGAGGGCCCCACGATGGGCTAGTATCCATGTCAGAAGAGAGTTCTCTCTCCATGATCTGAGGCCACAGCAAGAGGGCCATCTGCAAGCCAAGAAGCAGGCCCAGGGCTGGAACCGACTCTGCCAGTAACCTGACCATGATGTCCAGCCTCCAGAACTGTGAGAAGTGAATTCTGTTGCGGCCGCCTGTAACTACGGTATTTTATTATAGCAGCCTGTGCTAAGGCAGGATTTAACAATAGGCATCTAGTCATCAAAACAGCTTACACAGAAGCCTTAAATATCATCTAAAATGTACTTCTTTACTGGTTTATTATTTTGCCAATTAAATTCTTTTGTTCTGAAAGCATGTTAATGAAGAAGCCACTCATAAAGGACCACACAGTGAACGTTTCGATTAATACAAAATCATCAAAGTCCAGAACAGGACATTCACAGAGACAAAAAGTAGATGTGTGGTCACCAGACTCTGAGAGGGCTAGGGTATTGTGGGGTGTTGGCTAAGAGGTGTGGGAATTATTATGGAGGCGAAGAAGATGTTCTCAAATTGACTGTGGAGGTGCATGCGTGACTCTGTGACAATACTAAGAGCCACGAATACTTTAAATGGGTGAGCTGTATGCTATGTGAATTAAATCTTAGGAAGTCATTAACAGTTTTTTGTATGGAATATATTTTGTGCCTACTATTAAATCAGAATCCGTTCATTTGTCTCCAGTATCTGAATTTCCAGCCTGTATTAGGAAAAAGACAAAAAGATTTGGATGTTTTAATGAGACTATTCCTCGGACTCACACAAGTTACCTGTAGTTCCTGGTACAGTCTTTTTAACTCCAACGCTGCTGGTCCTGTTAACTTGCCATTATAAGCCTGGAACCCATTCAGTTTTCCTTTCTTTAAGTCTTCCAGTTGCTGGCTAAGCTGATCAACTCTTAGAATTGCAGTCTGTACCTCCTGCTTTTTTTCCTGGAACATGGCACTGAACCTTTCTATTTCAGCAGCTATAATTGCCCCAAAAAAAAAGAGAAAAAAATAATCATTTATCGATATTCTAGTTTCTTCATCTCTATACACGGAACTCAATGCCAGTATCGTCTAGTGTCAGACCTTGTCAAAACCAGTTACATGCATAATCCAGAACACATTCAACAAGCCTTTGGAGTCACACACATGGCGTGACTGCTCACAGAGCAAGCAGCTATGTTTGTGTCAATTACTGAATATTCTTTAGGGCAATCAGTCTAAGAGCTGGCTTGGTGAAGCCCCCCAGAAACCTCAAGGCACCAACAGACTTTGTGAAGGCAGAACTGTGTATGTCTGTCCTTCTCACTGTAACGCAAAGTAGGCATTAATGGAGCTGATGAATAAAATCAGGGCTGAACAGGAAAAAAGGTCAGTATCTGTATGTTTTTTTCTTAACATATGGATATCATTTAATTGTCTGATGAAAACAGACTGTTGCACTGAGTGAGTCTTGGAGCATCCCACCCCAATCCAGAGGGCTGCTGTTACCAATGTACCACGAGGATCTTTCTACTACACCTCGAGAAGAGGTTTTTAAGATCACCTAACCTTCCTTCCAGGTACAAAGCTTTAGCACACTTGTCAATGGAACTTGTGAATGAAACTGTCAGGCAATGGAACTGTTTTGCTTGACCCAAGCCTGGCCAGTGTGGGTGCTGAGCTGGGACGCGGGCACATACATAGATTGCCGTTCATAATTTTGCTATAGTCGACTTGTCCTCTCATGGCACGAATTTTCTTCAGCTTGTTTTCCTGGGCTTCAACTCGTTCTTTCAATTTCTGAAGCTTTTCATTTTCAGAAAGAGACTGCTGCTGACGACGCTCCTGTTGCTTTAGAAAATGTAAACGCTGTTCCTGACAAAAGAAGGAAAAAATCTAACTCTGGGAAGCAAGTTGTTACTAAAAATAAAAACAATTGAATGCATTCCACAATATCATTTATCTTAACGAATATCAAAGAGACACTGGAGAACTTTTGCACACATCAAACCACACAAAACTGAAATCACTGGGAATATGTAAGAATGAAAGGGTAAGAGTTTAGGGATTTTCAAGAGAGGATTTTATTGTGTGCACTGATGTGCACCATTTGGTTGATGAAAGTGCTTCTGCAGAAAAGCTTTCAGCAGGGGAATTGCAGGGACATCATCTTATCTCACTCTATCACATCTGTGAAGTCCCAGCCAACCATGACTTCCGGCTGTCAGTAACAGGTTTCCTGCTGCTTCCAAGAATCTTTTATTAAACTTCCTGAAGGAAATGAGCCCTGATCAGCAGAGAATTTTACGCTGAAAGCGGTAAGGTGATCAGTAGGGAGATAAACATATTTGTTAAGTGACACTGAACAATCAAAGAAATACCTGCTTTCTTCAACATTCATTTCTTCAAAAATAATGAAATGTTTTATAATTAAACAATAATGAAAAATTCTTAAAATAAAAATACATACAGTACCCCTCAATAGTCCTCTTCCCTATTTATGTGAAAACATACCTAAAGCCTCACAGTCAACATGAAATGCTCTCAGTCCCCCATGTGCACAGAATGCACCTACATAAGGGAGGTAGGGTCTGCTTATGCATGCATTACACACCACACTCTGCGGTAAGGAAACATGCTTATGTGTTTAAAACTGAATTTAGCTAGGGATTTACACTGCTGAAAATGTCTCCTAAGTTTTTTTGTTTTGTGTTGTTTTGTTTTTTAATAGCAATACTCTTGTATCAATATTTGGAAAGAAAATACACAAAAATGCAGAATTAGGACCAGCAGGTGGTGTGGTAGCTAAGGGACTGGACTACCACATGGCTAACTATGATTCAAGTCCAGGACCTGGTGGCTTGCTTTCTCACTTTCTCTCTCTCTCTGCTGAGTGCACATGCCCTATAGCAAATTTTAAAAATAATAATAAATAAAATTAAATAAATAATTATTTGAAAAATACAAAATTAGAAAATGTTTTAATTGGGACCAACAGATGATGTAATGGTTACATCACTGGACTCCCAAGTAGTTGACCGTGGTTTGAGTCCCAGACCTGGTGGCCTAAAACTAACGCCAAACGTGTGCATGTGTACCCAAAGTCCCAAGAGGAGAATGGAAGAGAAGGGATTGTGGTGTGGCCATCCCTCTGGGGTGATTTCTCAATCTGTCTGTCTTTCTGTCTCTGTCTCTCCAGTGACATGTGTGCACTATAGCAAAAAAAAAAAAAAAAAAAGAAGAAAGGAAAAAAGAAAGAAAGAAAATTTTTAATTAAATAACACTGAATAAATAAATAAATAAAACAGGTTTCATCTCTCTGGGACCAGCAGATGGCATAATGATTACATCTCTGGACTTCAACATAGTCAATCACTATTCAAATCCCAGACATGGCAGATTAAAACTCATGTTGGGCACATGAGTGCCCAAAATCCTGGGAGGAGAATGGAGGAGAAGGCATTGTGGCATAGCCATCCCCCTGGGGAGTGATTTCTTGCTTTCTGTCTCTCTCTTTCTCTCTGGGGAGAGCACATACTCTCTAGCAAAAATAAATAAAAAAATAAATAAATAAATAAATAAATAAATAAATAAATAAATAATGTGAAGACATACTTCCCAATTTACTTAACTGTTTTTTTTTCTTAACTGTTTTTTTATTCTTGTAAATCCAATAACCCTTATGAGACTTTTTAAAAAATAATTACTTTATTTAACTTTTATTTATTTATTTCCTTTTTAATTTCACTAGAGAGGGATAGAGTGAGAGTGACAGAGAGAGACAGACAGGAAGTGAGAAAGCAAGCCACCAAGTCTGGGTCTTGAACTGTGGACAGCCATCTGGGAGTCCAGTGAGCACCCTTAACCACCACACCACGTGCTGACCACATGAGACAACTTTTTAAAGGTATTTGACATAGGGTGTGTGCGTTACCCTGACATAGACAGACAGAGACACAGAGAGATGGAAAGTGAGAAATCACTCCCCTGACATACCAGTGGAAATAGCCATGCCACAGTCCCTTCTCCTCCATTTTCCTCTTGGGATTTTTGGCATGCACATGGAATGATTTTCAAGCCAGTATCCAGGACTTGAACTGAGTAGTTAGCCATATGGGATCCAGTGCCTTAACTAGCATGCTATCTGCTGACCCTGGGACAGTTCCTTCCTTCCTTTCTTTCTTTTTTGAGAGACTTTTGCTACAGGGTGCATGTGCTCACTAGAGAGAGAGAGCCAGAAAGTGAGAAATCACCCCCCCCCCAGGGAGGATGGCCATGCCACAATCCCTTCTCTTCTAGTCACCTCTTGGAATTTAGAGCATGCACACACACACACACACACACCCAGCGCGAGTTTTAAGCCAGCAGGTCTGGGACTCAAACTACAGTCCACTGACTACGTGGGAGTCCAGCAATGTAACCATTACACCATCTATTGGTCCTAGGACAGCTTTTTAAAACAAGTCCAATTTAAATGATTAGTTACATTAAAAATGGGTAGTACGGTAAACCACATAATTTTTCAATAAATGAAGAACAGTTGGATTGGACATTTGGTTATCAAGAAAATCTATAGAAGAAAGCAAAGAAAGCAATATGAACCTAGTTGGTAATGTTTAAAAGTTCTCTTTAAAGCAGTTTCAGAACATTTTTAAGACCATTTAAACATGAATCATTTCCAGTAGGCAAAGGGATAAGTCTGATTTTTTTTAAGTCTATTAAGTATAACTAAACCATTATTTAGAAAAATTCCATATCCTACTCAACAGAGTTTCAACAGCAAATGAGGAGCTTGGCATACGCGAGCATTAACTATGCCCTGCACTGTAATAAATGAAACAAGTTCCGCTTTGAGTGAATGGTATACCAAGAAGCCCCATTAACCAGCTGTCATTGGCTTTGGGGCTTGAAACCAGCAGTTTCATCACGGATGGCTGGTTTCTCCTAAAACACAGATACTAACTACACAGCTGAGAATACACCCAATGGGAAGAGGAGATGACAACAGAAAGTATCCTTTCTTCCCATATTTTATCTACAATTTGGATAAGGCTGGCCATTGCCTGTTCTGGGTGCCCATGGAACGTGTCATGAGTCAAGACTCTTGCTCTGATACCTTCCAACTTCAAGATAGGTGATAATCAAGAGAGAAAGACATTGTAGCTCTATGAGTGCTACCCATGACCATGACAGCCCAATCAAAAATGATGGCTGAAGCACAGAACCTTCTGAACGAAGTCTCCTGCCTCTGTTTTTACAACTTACCTTGGCAACCAACATTTGCTGCTGATTTTCAATTTGCTGTTGTTGCCTAGCTGCCATATCTTGGAGCTCTGTGAGAGTAAGTTCAACACGTTGATTCCCAACCTACCAAGAACAGAAAACATTCATTCGTATTGGAACCTATGTTTATTGTGTGTGTGTTTTTTTTTTTAAGAGGTTTTTGCTATAGGGTGTGTGTGCTCTCCAGAGAGACAGAGAGAGAGAGAGACAGAGAGACAGAAAGTGAGAAATCACCCCCCAGGGGGGATGGCCACACCTCAATCCCTTCACCTCCATTCTCTTCTTGGGATCTTGGGCATGGACGTACACATGCCCAGGGTGATTTTAAGCCCCCAGATCTGGGACTTGTCGACTAATGGGAATCCACTGTTGTAGCCATTTCGCCACCTGCTAGTCCTTGGAACCTATGTTTATCTATCTGCTTGATCATCTTTCACAAAAGTCAGAACTCACACAAGTCAGGATTTTAGGTTGGTCTCCCTTAAGAGAACACAAATTAGTTTATTTCCTAAGAACTTTTCCTAATTTGACCCCTAATAAAAGATTAGTGGGCCAGCTGGTGATGTGGTGGTTAAGGTGCTAGATTGCACATGGCCAACTGGGCAGTTCAAGTCCTAGACCCAGCAGCTTGTAAAACATGCTGGTGTGGGGACCAGCAGTTAGTAATGGCTATGTCACTGGACTCCCATGTGGTCGACCGTGGTTTGCGTCCTGGACCCGGTGGCTTAAAACTCACGCTGGGCACGTGTGCGTGTGTGCCCAAGATCCCGAGAGGAGAATGGAGGAGAAGAAATTGCGGTGTGGCCATCCCCCGTCGGGGGTGATTTCTCGCTGTCTCTCTCTGTCTGTCTGGCGAGTCCACGTGCCCTATAACAAAAAAAAACAAACAAACAAAAAAACACATGCTGGTGTGTGTGCATGCATGCCCAAAATACTGAGAGAATGGATGAGAAAGATTGCAGCATGGCCATCCTCCCTAGAGGGATGCTTTCTCACTTTCCCTCCCTTGTTCTGTTGATCTCCAGCAGGCTCATGGGTCATATAGCAAATCTAAAAAAAAGTAAGTATATTATACATAAAAATATACATTCTTTATTTACTTATATGTATATTTTTTTTGTGTGTGTGTGTGTGTATATATCACATATACATTGATATATAAATAAAGAGTAGTGATTTCCACCTACTGGGATTTTCCAATCACCACATCCAAAGGTTTTTCTTGAAATGTACAATTTTTACTTACTAAACACTTTTTTTGACTAGAGGATAACTATATCTATTCGATGAATCTTTCGAATTACATTAATCTGTTTCTCTTAAATAGAAAAACAGATCCTGGGATGGATACCATACTTCAGCTGTGAAATACTGGTTTCCTTGACCAAAAATGCAGATTTTTCTGCTGAGACTTCCCCCTCCAGACTCATTTCTAGAGGGTAGGGATAGCTCTGGGTCTCTTTCTCTCCATTTCTGTCTCTCCCTCTGTCTCACTGTGTCTCTCTGTGACTTTTAATTTTTTTAAATTAAAACAATTTTTTTATAAGGTACAGTATTCTCTGGGCTCTCTAGCCTCTCCTTTATTGTGTTATTGGTGCCTTCCCTCGCTTTATTAAGGCACAACTCAAGCCAAGCCTATCCTGAGATGGATACCATACTTCAGCTATGAAATACTGGTTATGCACGGCATGTGCACTCATTGTGTGGTTTTCATTTTTGCTTTTTTAAAATGATAAATCTTATGGTTTTTGTCCTCTTTTTTTTCCTCCTTCTTTTTCAGTTTTTTTCTTCTTCTTTGCTCTAAATTCTTCTTTTTTCTTTATCTTTATTCATTTTCTCATCAAATTCTACACATAAGTGTCTAGACAGGTTCAAGTGAACAGTTTCCAATCATCTGAATATGATTAGGGTCAGAATATTCCTCTTCTCACCTTGAATCTGATGCACAAAGAGTAAAAATGGAACAGTAGAAAGATTGCAGATCACCTTCTGCTCGCCTCTGAATGCTCAGATCGAACTTCAAGAATTAGGAAGAAACGCACTATCCATCAGATGACTAGAAATCACCGCAGAATCACAGGAAATATGGGAAAGCAAGACAATACCTCTCCTCCAAAGGAAAAGAATAATACACACTTCTTCATCCTCAGACAGTACAACGAAACTCATGGAAATGTCTGATAAGGACTTTAGAATGTTCAGAATGACAAAGCTAACAGAGATGGAAGAGAAGAGAGACAATGAACTGCAGAAGAGGTGGGAGAAAGGAGCTGATGAGTTACAGGAGGTGAGGAAATTCTTGCAAAATCTAAAAGAGGAAATATGCACTCTAAAAAAGAATCAAAAAAAGCAGACTAGATCATACAGAAAATCTATCTCAAATATAGAAGATAGAATTCTCTGGCCTAGAAAAATCCACCATGTAGACAGAGAAAATGGTCCAAGAAAATGAGAATAATATACGAGAAATACTAGCTACCACCAAACATCCAAATATCTAGATAATTGGTATCCCAGAAGGCAAAGAGACTCATAAGTACATTGACAATTTATTCCATGAAATTCTGGAAGAAAACTTTCCAAACCTAGAGAGGCACTCAGAGATCCAGACCCAAGAAATACAAAGGACCCCTAAAAGAATCGACCCAAGAAGATCTTCTCCAAGGCACATCATAGACAGATTAACCAAAACCACAGACAAAGAAAGACAAGATACTGATTGGCAAGAGAGAAATGGATACTAAGGATATCCCATCAGGCTAACCGTGGACCTCTCATCGGAAACAATGTGAGCGAGGAGAGAATGGTAAAATGGTAAAAAGTGTTGGGACCAGCAGTTAGCGTAATGGCTATGTCGCCGGATTCCCATGTAGCCGACCGCAGTTTGCATCCCGGACCCGGTGGCTTAAAACTCACGCCGGGCGCGTGTGTGTGTGTGTGTGCCCAAGATCCTGAGAGGAGAATGGAGAAGGGATTGTGGCATGGCCATCCCCCCTGGGGGGTGATTTCTTGCTTTCTGTCTCTCTGTCTCTCTCTGTCTTTCTGGCAAGCACATGCACCCTGTAGCAAATACCTCTCCAAAAAAAAAGTATTTTATTAGTCAATATGTACATTTATATTCTTTGTATGTGTTGCATGTGTTTTTCTAACTACAAAATTAAGATATGTTATGCTGTCATAGTAACTCAGGTATTACGTCTTGCGTAAACATAGTAATATATATTGCAACAAAATGTTACTGACATGAATATCATATACACAAAATGGATGATGAGTTCAATGAGTCCTTTCGATGTGAATGTGTTTGTGTAATGCAGCTATGTTTTAAATAGATTATAAGGGACCAGCAGGTGGCATGGTGGTTAAGGATGCTGGACTCTCATATGGCCAACTGTAGTTTGAGTCCCGGACCTGGCAGCTTGCTTTCCCACTTTCCCTCTCTGTCTCTCTTTCTCTGTCCCTCTCTGGTCAAATTAAAATAAATAAATAAAGTTAAATAAGACAATTATTTAAAAATAAATACATAGATAGATAGATGGATAGATAGAGTATTAAAGAAACAAGGGACCAGCAGTTGGCGTAATGGCTATGTCGCTGGACTCCCACGTAGTCGACTGCAGTTCGTGTCCCGGACCCAGTGGCTTAAAACTCACGCCAGGCGCGTGTGCGTGCATGCCCAAGATCCCGAGAGGAGAATGGAGGAGAAGGGATTGCGGTGTGGCCATCCCCCCCAGGGGGTGATTTCTCCCCTTCTGTCTCTCTCTCTGTCTGTCTGGCGAGTGCATGCGCCCTATAGCAAAAATCTCTCAAAAACAAACAAACAAACAAAAAACCCTTTGATATGAGTTTGATCGTTTTCTTTTTTTAAAAAAAAAGAATTATTTATTTAATTCTATTTATTCATCTGCATATTTTAATTTGACCAGAGAGAGGGAAAGTGAGAAAGCAAGCCACCACATCCAGGACTCGAACTGTGGTTGGCCATGTGGGAGTATCCAGTGCCTTAAGTACCATGCCACCTACTGGTCCCAAGTCTGATCCTTTTTTTTCAAGTAATTATTTTATTGAACTTTATTTATTTATTTTAATTTGACCAGAGAGGGACAGAATGGGCGGGGAGGCAGGGGAGTGAGAAAGCAAGATGCTAGGTCTTGGACTTGAACTGCAGTCAGCCATGTGGGAGTCCAGCGCCCCTAACTACCACACCACCTGCTGGTCCCAAGTCTGATCCTTTTTTTTCAAGTAATTATTTTATTGAACTTTATTTATTTATTTTAATTTGACCAAAGAGAGACAGAGAGACAGAGACATAGAGAGGAAGTTAGAAAGCAAGCAGTCAGGTCTGGAACTTGAACCTCAGTAGGCCATGTGGAAGTCCAGCACCCTTAACCACCACACCACCTACCAGCCTCTGAGTTTGATCCCCTTTTTTCCTTTTTTTAATGAATTATTTTATTTAACTTTATTTATTTATTTTAATTTGAACAGAGAGGGACATTGTGAAAGCAAGAAAGCAAGCTGCCAGGTCCGGGACCGGAACCATGGTTGGCCATGTGGGAATCCAGTGCCCCCAACCACCATGCCACCTAGTGGCCCCGAGTTTGATCCTTTTTAAAAAAACCTTTTGTTATAGGGCATGTGTGCTTATCAGAGAGTTTCAGAAAGTTAAAAAGCACTGTGGAGAGCACTGCATACGGAAGCCATCTTGAGCTATCCACCATCTTGAGCTATCCACCACCTTGGAAACCATTAGGCTTCACTTCTCCTCACTGAGCAAACCATCTCTCAGAAATCATGTGACCAACTGTTCTCCCCAGAAGTGGTTGGGTTTCTAGGCAACGGCAGAGGTCCACCCACATCAGTGATTGGTTCATGCTGTTCTATCTCATTTGCATTTCGGGCAACCAATTGGTTCCCACCAGCTGTATATAACTCGCTATTTCTCCTCAATAAACGGAAGTAGACAGAAGACGATTTGATCAGCAGCTCATATTGTATGTGCATGTGTTTGTCCCATCTCTCACTCCCTCCCCCAGGGAACCTGTTCGACTGTCCTGCCAGTCAGGGCAAACCACCCCCAAGGA